CTTAAGACTGAATGAACATTCAGGGGTATAGGTAGTCGTATCTCCAGAAAAATCTGGGCATTACACCCGGATTAAAGTCTGCCTACAACTTCAAAGTCTGGCTTACAGGTTTGTGCTACATACTATATGATGGTACAAAAGAAACATCACGTAATTTTGAAACTGCCTGAAGTCAGATTTCTTACAACACAACATATTGAATAAAATAACATTCATCTTCAATGAAAAATTAAGTTATAAATGGCAAATGATATAACAGATGAGACATACAGCATATTCTTGAATCTTCTGGGTGTATCTGTAACCTTCACTAAAGGCCTAACCACATATCTGAAGAAAAGTGTGGAGGTTAAAAAACAGTGTGATAGCTTATATGTTTAAATACAAATATGGTTAGTGCCCAGTATTAAAACACACTTTTTAATGTTATAATTTGATTTGGTCTTTTTGTGTAAGGACAAGTATTCCCACAGAACAGAGCAGGTTTAGATTTGATATTGGGAAGAAATTCTTCGAGGTGATGAGGCACTGGAACAGATGGCTCAGAATTGTGGATGCCCCATCCCTGGAAGTGTTCAAGGCCAGGCTGGATGGGGCTTTGAGCAGCCTGGTCTAATGGGAGGTGTCCCTGCCCATGGCAGGGAGGTTGGAACTAGATGATCCCTTACGGTCCCTTCCAACCCAAACCATTCTATGATTCCATGATTAAACCAAACTCCAGGGCCTGCAGTGGAGCCCCCGCCAAGGCAGTTCTTGAGGTCAGTGTGAAGCCCTGTTCCCAAGGATTTAACCATTTACAGGATGTAAATGGAATCTTTCTAGACTCTTCAGAAGTTCAGCCAAGTAATCTTCAACTTTACCCAGTAAATACAAACCACTGCAAACTGCTGGAAATATAAAGAATCTTCTCACATAGAAAAAAAAAATTACTTTTTTCTAAATTTGGTGGTGGGAAAAAAAATCAAGTGGTATATGGATCCAAGTACCTCAAATAAAGCAATTTTTTTCCTCTCATTCCCATTATTCATAAAATTTTCCTTGATTTAAAGAGCACTACAAAATCACTGGCAAGTCATTCATACTCTTAATAGTAGTAAGAGAGAAAATAAGCAACTGAAGGCCTTTATGAGAAGCTCTGACAACCCAACCCTCATTGCTCAAGGGGACAGAAAACAAATATCTTGCATTTGCTCAGGAGAGAGGGTGAATGACTCCAGTGTATGAGCTCCAGCACCTCTACACTGCCCACATCCCTGCTTGAGACTGCAAGTGGAGCACTGCCAGCACAGCTCTGGGTGCAGGAAGGATAGGGACACAGGGAAGAACCTGATTCACCCATTGGGCCACCAGTATCCCTTGAGGTGCTGCAGTGGGTATGACAGTGATGACAGGGAACTCCCAGCCTTAAGGAATATCTCCCGTGCTTCTTGGGGAGCAGGGAGACATGGCAAACCCATGCACTACTCCTGCAGTTCTGAACCACAAATCTCAGCTCGCTTGCACGAAAAGGTGCTAAGATCCTCTGTCAAGACAGAAAAACAAAAGAAACAACTCTAACCTGCCATTAAGAGAGGGCAGGCTGCCAGTTCTGCTGAAGGGAGAGGCTCCCTGCCTGCTGGCAGCTGAGTCACAGCCCAGTTCCTCGCCCAGCCCTTCACAGCTTCAGCAATTTCCTGAAGTCTTGAAGCTGGTATGTACTTGCAATTAAAAAAAAAAAAATCACATATGCCTGGAGAGGAGGTAATTATGACCTGCCACTCCTATCCTGTCACCTGGAACTGGACAGTGACATCTCCCTGTCTCATGGACCACTGACTGCAGGGATCATGTTGGACTCATATGGTGCATCTCTCGATGGTGCATCCAGAGAAGGTCTCTCAGCCTTGGTGCCAGGGCTGTGGACCAGGGCTGTCCTCTGGGAGCTGCTGGTGCTCTGACCTCTGGCCCAGAGCTAAGCTACGGCCCCTGCAGTGGTGCAGCCAAGCTGCAGGCACCACACGTGGCAGGTCCAGCTCCAGCACAGCCCCAGGGAGGTCCCAGTGAGAGGGCTGGGGCTGCCCTGGTGCCCCCACTGGCTGCCCCACACCTGACTGGGGCAGTGGAACAAGCCCTGACTGCCAGGCCCTGCCCTGATGGACCTCTTGAGGGACCTCCAGCTGCTGTGCCCTGGCATGGTATGTGCCCTCCATCCAACACCCAGCTTACTGTGGCTCAGCACAATTGCAGTTCCAGATTCAAATCTGGGTATTTGAGCCTTCTGGGTTTTACTGTCATAGCACTTAATATCATGCCCTTAAAATAAGGTCTGAGCCAAATTAAAGCCCTTCCAGGACTGGAAGTCATGTCCCACCTGAAGAGCTCCATCCCCCATTTTCAAGGTTGATACTCCTCACAGCCCAGGGTGCCTCTGTACAGAGAATTATCTCCAGTGAGCACAGCACACCTGGTGCAGGGGGCTGCCATGCTGCAACACGACCAACAGATGTGCCCCCATGGGGTACTCCACAGTGGCAGCACCATGGTCCCACCCTACTGCCCAAGCAGGCACATCAGGTCATCCACCCTGGTGGAGCACACCAGCTGGCAGCACCCACAGGATGCTCAGACCAGCTCCTGACACCAGCTGTGATCCACAAACTGGGAGCTATTAAAACAGACAAACTGGGCAAATGGAGAATCACTGCCAGAACTGTGCAGGTCTTTTAGTGTTTAAACTACTTATTGCTCAGAAGACAAATGAAACATTAAAAGAGGTCTCTGGAGTAAAACTATGTAGTTAAATATAACAAATGACTGTTTGGGAAGATCATTCCTCTCTTGTGAGCAATAGCTGGAAATTATTATCTCTGTTTTAACGGTACAAAACAAAAAAGGAATGAAACACAGAAACTCATTGAAATCAGTGAAGAATCTTATTTTCATTCCATTTGAAATGGAATCCAACAACCTGTAACTTCTCACAGCAAAAACACCTTAGATAAGGTTGGTGAAAACTCCTGGGAAGGACAAAATCCATAGGTGAAGTTATGTTTACAGAAAGAAATTAAGCTCAATGGAAACTGGCACAGAAGCACACAAAATGGGGACTCTGCTCCCCAGTCACTGAATCACTTGCTTTGTGCAACACACTGGAGTCAAAGGTGCCTGTTCTTCCCTATTGAAACACTGTCAATGAAACCCACGGAGTAATGCCAGAAACAGTGATCCAACAAAGCAATTCAGTCATATCCCAAGGTTTTAACATTTGCACAGCTGGAGGACAGGAATCAAGTTTTTCATTATTAACTGATCTGTACCATAATTATCAGTTGCTTGAGCAGTTAAGGCTACACTGCTCTGTGCAAGAGATACATAGTTCTGAAGAAGCTCTGGGAAATGTTTTCCATTACTTCATCTCATTAAGTTCCTCCTTTTTTTTTTCTCTCCAATCCCTCTGTATCTTTCATATTGTTTATGTTTTCAAATACTTGCTTGTGCTATGTTCATTCCTCTGGTTGCTCTGTCCCAAATAAAACAGACTCGTCTTCTGCCAGCTATTTCCTTTTGTCTTGCCAATGTTTCTAAAAAAGACTTTCTTGCTGGCATGCACCTCCTCTCTGACCAGCTACCCAGAACAGAAGCATGTCAGAAAACAACCTCATTGACTGAGATGCAGCTTCGTTTTTCCACAAAATTATGCACTGCCACAGCCAGCTTCTCTGGGACTTTCAGCACTGTGCATGATGCCTGCAGCCTTTATACACAGCCTGTGAGGAAAAGGCTGCACCTGTCTCTCATTTTACTTTAGTGTCCTACTCCCCATAAGGATCACGTGTGTGTTGTGTCTACCGAGACCACCTTCTGTGGCGGGCCAACTGGTCCCACAAAAGGAAATCTAAGAACAAAATAATCTGCTCCAGGCTCTGTTCACTGGATATGCAAGAAAAAACACAAATTTGCCTTTGCTGGGGACACTCCTTCAAATTACACCAATGAAATCATGTACCCTTAAAACTTCCTTATTATGCTCTCCAGGGCATAGAGTACAAACTACACATGCTATGAGAAGCCCACAAAGCCTCGTGCAGGACAAGTTAGTACACACTGATTAACCCAGCAGGCAGAATACTCTCCCACGTGGCCCTCTTAAGACACAAACCTTCTTAGTCATTTCAGGAACGAAAAAATACACAATAAAGAAGAGACGTCACCAACCAAGAGAGAACAGTGAGCACATCAGTGATTAAATCTCTGGCAAGCTTAATGCCAAAGTCAGCTTTGTCAAGAGAGACTTCTTTTCACTTAGAATCCAGAATCAGAAATCCTCTCCTGTCAGCAGACACTTTCAGCTGTATTTCAAATTAATATTCTGTACCCTTTAGTCTCTAGTCACAGCCACCAGTGACTCTACAATGTCTGCTTAACTTTGTAAGAGTAAGGTCACAAAAGCACAAATCTCTTCTCAGACTGAGAACATTCAAGCCAGCTGGTCACATTTTCCATGAGAACACCCTTTTACAGGAAATGCATCTCAGAGTAGATCTGGGCTCCACACACAAACACTGAAGAAGCTCTATAGTCCAGAGCCATCCAAGGGTAAAATCACACAAGGAAAAGGATGGGGATCTCAGACATATCATACAGTCATACAGTATGGCTTTCACCAGCACTGAAGTTTTGGACTCTGGTGATCAGTTCTACCTCTACCTCACCTACACTTAAACATCAGTATGACAAAAAAGGACTGTGGAGAAGACTGAATTCTGGAAACATACTTCATAGCAGCTTGAACACACCCCATGAAAGATGTACAGGAGTCCTGGAAGTACTTCTCTGAGGAAGGAGGGACATGCAAAGTTAACAAGGCATCCTTTGGCTGCAAGGAGCAGGAAATCACCAGGGAAGAATCAGTGTCATCTCCACAGCTGCAGTTCTATTACAACATAAAGCAAGAGCCCTCTTTCTTTGTATATTAAAATGCTGTAATTAACATTTTCCAAGGGAGCAAACAGAGTACTTGCCTGTATTTATGAATGATGGCATTAAATAACCTTCCATCGCGCCAGCAGGTAGTGAAATTTTCACAACGTATTCCAGCATAACCCTCTGTTGTTTGCTGTGACCACAGGAGCAGTCTCTCTTTAGCAGACATGTCCTCTGACTCCCCAGTAACATGGATATCAGATATCTAAAACAAAGTTAATGTAAAAATTACAGTTACATCTAATCCATAAGAATGTTTAAAATATTGCAGAAAAATCACTCTTCGTTGCTGGAGAATTTATTGTCTGGTATCTGTGTACATGAATACAATTATTTTTCAGGTACTGTATTAATATTCTTTTGTGTATTATCCTTATGCACTCTCAGTATCTTCAATATGAAATACAAAATTCACAGTTTTCTTCAGTTAGCCACTTCTCAGTCTCTTAATTTCTGGGTACAATATAACACTATTGCATAATGCAAAATACTTAATTGTTTATTTATGCTGATAATACAGTCTATTTTTAATGACACCTATTATGTATAAATGTTATATAAATATATATAAAATGCAATATGTTTTATATGTATATAGGCACACTTATACAATAACTATATTTCTATTATTCATAGCTATGAAATTCCTCTCTTAAAACAGGTTGATTTATAGTGCATGTTCTGGAATTCAGCAACAAAACAGTAATTCTGAGTGAAAACTGATAACAGTTTTAAGACAAAATTTTCTGAGAAGTATTTTGGGAATGACTAAAAGACTGAAGGATTATAAATAGAAATTTTGTCTGGTCAAGAAGGTTCAGTTTTGTAATATCTAAGGATTATCAATTCCTTATCAGGAAAAGCAGAAAAGTATTGGGAATTTTATATTCAAATACTACTTTATTATTATACTACAAATACTACATTAGATCATCCCCTAATGAAGTTCAGTTAGTTTCTTTGGAAAACTACCACAGCATAAATATGAAGCAGACAAACATGTATTGTTTATACCTCATGTTACAGAAATTGTACTCAGTGTAAAGGCAAACTCTAACGAGGAAGAAAAATAAGATGTGCCTTGGCAAAGGAAGGGCTATAGCATGTTTTCATTTTTCTAAGTGACCACCTATTACCACTTATCCAAACAAGAGACAATATAAGGTGTTTATTATGAACTACTTAGGAGCCCATGTATACAAGGCACTGTATAACAACCTCAATATGTAGCTCAGCCATCAGGAAAAGCAGGCAGGGCTGCTTGGGCAGGGGCAAGAGGATTTGAGGCAATGCCACAGCTTGTGGGTAGACAAGAGGCACCTCTGTGAGCCCCCCTGGAAGAGGCTGCTCCCCACAGCACACACCCAGCCCTGCAGAGAGGCAGGGGTGCTCTGGCTCCAGGGCCAGCCTGAGGCCACAGCTCAGGGCAGGTTTGCCCACAAACAACCCTGGGTGCTTGAGTTTGCTGCAGAAGAGCTGTGCATTGAGTTGTGCCAATTCCAGCAATCCATTCTAGCATAAACCAAGCAGCTACACTCATGAGGTCAGATGGGATGGTCATAACAAATTCTCCCAGCCTCAGAATCTCTGCACACAAAGATATCTTCTGTCTGGGCTCTGACAGGGGGAATTCCAACAGGCTAGGCTGGAACTTATGGGGTTTTCTTAAATTAGAGCCACACAAATCACAGTGCCAAGAATGATGTGTAACTTGCCTACTGATGTTGCCATGTCATGGCCCAAGACAACATAGTGGGAAGCACTGGGAAGCAGGGAACTAGAGGAAGAGCCTTAGAGATGGTCAGGGCAATGGAGCTCACCACAATTTCTGCTTTACTACCTCTCATACTTTCAGGGGATGATGAGCATTTACACCTATACAGTAAATTAGAAATAAATTTAATGCAGAGAAAAAAAAATTACATTACTTTCTATTCAAGTAACCACAAAATCACAAGCTGTGAATGCAGTCCTTCAGATACCTATCACAGGCCATTGTATTTGCTGGATCTATGTAAGGGAAAAATACCAACACCAATGCTAGAAAGCAAAATAATTTTAACTGTTCAACCAGCCCCTAAATAACCTGACTGGTTATTAGGATGCATTTTTTGCATCCTATTGTCTTCAGCTTCAGCACATTTTTTAAGAAAGTTCATACAAAAGGGGGAAAAAAAAACTTTTTTTTTTTTTTTCCAAAACATAGTAGAGAACACATGCAGCTGTTCCTAGGTATCAAAATTTCTAGGTATCAAAATCCTGCAAAGAGTATTTACTGAATGAAATACAGATGGGATGAATCGTGTCTGTAAAGACAACAGAAAATACAATGTGGCAAAAGACCAACTTGTAATCACTCTGAAAATTTTCTTGTAAAAATCTAGGGAACTCAGCTTTAGTGCAAGACTTTTTTCCGTGGGTTAACTTTATTGTTTGGTATTTCAAAGCAAGAAAGCAAACTAAATGTTTTTTCAGTAGGTTTAGTTTCTATTCATCACAGAACAACCAGATCACAATATAAATGAAGTCAACCATGCACTGCTTATCCGGACAACGCTTCTGAAAGAGATGATGTCATCTCCAAGTGCCAGATGTATAGCATTAAAAAAAGAAAAAGAACAAACCCAAAACTATATTTTTGGCTGTCATTTTCAGAAAGTCCTCTGTGTGTAATCCTTAATTATCAGATTTTTTAATATACTCTAACATGAGCAAGCTAACAATGCAATTTGCTAATGGCCCTTCCTTACTGCTGAGTTCAAGCCCTTAGCTTCCTTCATGGTTAATTGAGCAGATAGCTCTGTACACTTCACATTGCAGAGAGTGCAAACACAGCATGTTTGAGTGCACATTAGATTCCTCTGGAAACAAGTAATTTCAAACATCAAGGTAACTTCTGAATACTCTACTAGTATCTGGTGTTAGATATAAACAACATTTTAGCCATGGACACAAACACAAGAACTTTTTTTTCTGAATATGACCATTAGGGAAGCTCACAGTTGACATTTTGGATGGCTAAAACAATAATTCAGTTTATTACACGAAGATCAGCAGGGTTTTGATCCAAAATCTTCCAAGCACCCTAGTTAGCCATCTGAAGAGAAAGAATAAGGCTTTTCACTCATAAAGGTATCCCATTTCACCACAGGTTAAGGAACATTAACATCAGCCTGAGACCTGAAACAGCCTGAGCACTTCTGTTCTCTAAATAAAGTATTTCAGCTTTCAAGGCTAATATTTCAGAATTTTTAATAAACACTGAAATAGTATTTTAAAAGTAGAAATACTCTAAGTGAAATTGAAATACTCTAATTGAAATGTTGAGTCAAATGGTTATAATTTATTACACCTACAAATACAGGCTCTAGTTTGCAAGATGCCCTATTAACTTAAAACTTCTTAACAAGTAAAATACTACCACAATAAAATAAGCTGTAAGAGGAAGCGAGATACTCATCCACCAACTGTGCATTATCATCAATATTTCTAACATCATTTCCCATAGAAGAAAAACCAAAGGATTATTAAACTAAGAATGCTAGAATAGAAAATAAATTAAGGGGAAATCAAATCTTCTACTCATAAAATGTACTCCTTCCAAGCAAAGTTTGTGTGAACTTTTTGTATCCCACAAGCCTATCATTTACTCACTATAAACTGCTTAAATAGAGAACATTTGTTCCTTAAGCATGGAAAGAATGAATTATAGCATTTGCATGATTTTGAGCAGTTGTTTGCCAGAGATCCAGTTCTCCAAATTATCTCAAAGCCTGTGAATTAAAAGTTATGCAAGAAAAAGCAACAGAGGTAATTCTCTATATAGTTCTTCTATTTCAGGATCAAAGTCTTAACTGGCACTAAACACTTCTCTTGCTTCTAACTGGGAGAACATGTTCACTTTTGCTACTGCTTTTTCTGAGCTTGTAAATTACCCCTGCATCACACAGAATATAAAATCCAAACACCAAAAGACCTCCAGCTCTTTCTTTGCACTGATTTTAGTGATGCAGTTTGTAGCCCAAAGAGCAGAGCAGACTGGAGAAGACTTCCAAGATATCAACAGTGATGGTGGATTTCTGTGATTCATTTTCACATTGCAAAGAGAAGAGCAAGACTCAGAGATAGCAGGAAGTCTACCCTCTGATTCCATCTTATCCCAAATGTTTTGAAGCAAGACTAAACTTGACATAATGTACTAAACTTCACAAAAGTACATAATGAGCTAGAGATGCATGATTCTGGTGGTGTATCATCTCTCTCCTGGGCCACACTATGATCTGAGAAATGTTCATTAGGCTTCAGCAGAAAGTAAGAAACTTTTCTATCAAAGCTATTAATGAGTAGCCAAGAGCAATGCTTCAGTAGATCCCTCTAAGCTGAGTTCTGTAATCAGGAAAACAGAGGCAATGAAGTAGAACATATCTGAACACAAAATTATAATTTTTTACATGCATAAGGAACCTTACTACAGAAAGAAACTCAAAGAATATATTTCAGTAGAGGGGACCATACTGTTTCAGAAGGTAAAATGTTGTATCTCTGTTACAGTGCAAATTATCCAACTGTACCAATTAGTTTCCTCTGGTATCTGCTTCTCAGTTTGAAAAGCCAACATGCTTTCAATTATCAGCCACATCTGAGGCACTGTCTAAGCTGAGAGCACATTACAGCATAGGTAAATTGACAAGGTAAGGGAAGGCTACTGATCTCTGTAATTACAGTAAAGAAAATGGTAAAGCTGAGATTGCTAACTGCAAAGCTTTGTGTGCCAGCTCAGGTCAATAACAGGACCTTTGAAACTCATAAATACCAGTTTCACAGTTAGTATAAAAAACACAGAAATATAAGACATTAAAATGCTTTTTTAGTTCTCAAAAACAATCAGAAGGAAAGTGGTTATGAGTTTGTACAGTAATTAAAGCCTGAAATTTAGTTTTTCCTGGTTTTGTTTAGAGGTTAAACCTTGGTGTTCTTAATATTACTTATACTGAGAATCTTGGGTTGAGAAAGGGAACTGAACTGATTTTAGCAACCGAGGTATTTAGCCTGATATATCAGCAGTTTCATATTCATGCAATGCTTTCTCAATATCAGTTGATATAGGTGCTCAACAGAAATCTTCTTTATTCTTCCTTCTTCTGCAGTAATAAGAGGTACAGACATAGTTGGAGTAATTAGAGCAGCAGTATTACAAGCTACATT